GGGCTGTCTTGCCTCCTCTGACTGGCACCGTCTGTGAGACCCTTGGGGCGGAGAGGGCAGGTGCTGAACCTGGGACCTCCTGTCCACTGGCCCTGGGGTGGGGACTCCCCTGGACGGGGGGGCCTCACAAGACCCTGCCTGGGCCCATGGCTGGGAGCCAGTTGCCACAGGGAGGCAGATTCGGTCCCTTGCCTCTGCTGCCCTGGGACGGTGAGCCAGGCACTTCTGTGGCTTGGCCTGTGGAGGCGGTCCGCTTTCCCTTTCTCCGGGGGCGAGGCAGGGCTTTGTGTCCCCTGTGGGACAGCAGGTGCTTGGCAAAGTGGCTTCTGAGGAGGAGCTGCCCCCCCCCCCGAGGGCCCCCCCCCTGCCCTAGCAGGCAGCTGGCCGGAGGGACTCCTGCGCTCCCGGGTGGGCGGGTTCCGCTTCAGCTTGGGGGCTGCCCATTGGAGTCCGAAGAGCCCCTCGTGGTCCGTGCTGCAGACCCACTTGGTGATCGCCCTGTCTCCGCCAGGGTGGGATGGGGGATGCTGCCGATGGCTGGCAAGAGCTGTGCCTGTGAGGGGATTGGGTGGGGCACGGCCGTGGGTCCGGCCGAGTGGCTTCTCCCCCTCCTCTTCCCCCTCTGCTCCCCACGCTCTTGGCCCTCATCCCCCAGCAGCCCTGGCTGCACACAGCTGGACCCCCACCACCAATGCCAACGTGGGCATTCCTTCCCCCACCCCCCTCCGGAGCAGCCACTTCCCTTCCCGGGGGGGGGTCTGCTCTTTGGACGGAGGGGGGGCTCTTTGGCGTTGTGCCAGGCGCACCAGGGGCTGCTCTTCTGCCCGGGCCTCTGAGCCTGTGCTGAGACTTCGGGCAGGCATGAGCCTCCGGCGGTTCTTGACTGGCACGGCTCTCCAGGTCCTGCCTCCCTGCCTGCCACCCAGGGTGCTGCGTTGCCTGCTTGGGCAGCCCCTCCGGTCTTGCCATCCGCCCCGGCCTGGAGTGGGTTCACCGTGAGAAAGGCGGGGGCTGTGCGAGTGACGTGGGTGACGGTGGCGCTGGTGGCTCCTGAGCCTCCCCGGTCTCGCCCTCTCAGGGCCCCAGAGATGCTTTTTGCAGAGAGGCCGGCTGGCTCCCGCCCTTCTTTGCTGCTTCTGAGACATGGGCATGAAATCAGTGCTTTGTCCACAAAAGGCGGGGGCGTTTTTCGGGTTTTTTTAATTAGATGGGATGGTGCGGGGTGGGGGGGGTGTTGGCATCCTGGGGCAATGTGTTTGGGGCAGGGGTCCCCCCGCCCCCCCGCCCAGGGTATGCAGCAGGGGGCTTGATCCGCCTTCCCTTCCCTTTCCTCCAGCTGGAGCAGGCCCTGCGCCTGGAGGCCGGGGAGCAGGAGGCGCTGGAGAGCCAGGGCTTGGCCCAGCACAACATCGAGCTGCGCCGGCGGCTGGAGGAGGAGCAGGCGGCCTACAAGCGCAAGCTGCAGGCGTACCAGGAGGGGCAGCAGCGGCAGGCGCAGCTGGTGCAGAAGCTGCAGGGCAAGGTGAGGCGCCGGGATCCCCTCCCCCCCCCATGCCACGGATGGCTCGCCCAGGGACCCTCCACGGCAAACTCCTGCCACTTTTTTGTGTGGCGGCCGCTTTTACATTCCATTCCCCGTCTCCGTGTTGCCCACCCGCCTGCAAAGCAGCATTTGCGGGCCAAGGACTGAGGTGGAGCTGTGCACCCGCTCAGGTCTGGAGGGCGAGCCCCTGGCGGAGTTTCCAGCAGGCTTTCAGACCACGCTTCCCAGCATCCTGAGAAGCTGAGACTGTGCCACCGGGGGGCGTGGCGGGTGGAAGCGTGGAGTCTCAGGGAAGGTGGGCGAGGGCCAAGCTGGGTCTGGTCCGAGGCTCTGTGGGGGGAGGCCCCCCTCCCCCTCCAGGGGGGGCAGCGGGGCAGCAGGTGTGGTGCTTGGAGTCCTGGCTGGCTCCTCGCCTGGCAGGCGCCTCCTTTTCCTTCGTAGGTCCTTCAGTATAAAAAGAAATGTGCAGAGCTGGAGCAGCAGCTGGGGGAGAAATCGGCGGAGCTGGAGCGGCAGGGCCTGGTGGCGGTGAGGCGCTCTCCCTTCTCTGGGGGGGGCGGGGGGGCTGCCGTCCCGCTTGGAGCCACTGCAGCCAACACCACACACCCCAACTGCGCATTTCCCCACCTTTGAATGGGGGGGTCACCGTCTAACTCCACACACACACACCCCGCCCCCCGGAAACCTGGCCTGGATCCCTTCAGTTCAGGGGGCGCGCGGGCGCATGCGTGTGTGTGTATGTGACTCAAGCCCCTAAGGGGCCCACGCGGGGTGACGGCACCCCCACGACTGCCGCAAGGACACTGGCACACGCAGTTGGCCTCTAGGAAGCGCTCCAGAAATGGAGGAGAGCTGACGGTCACAGTTCTCTCGCCCCCATCCTTGCCCCCCCGCCTGAAAGAAGCCCTGCCGTTGTCGCCTGAGGAGAGCAGGAGGTGTCTGTCGGCAGTCCTTAGCCCCTCTCCCCCGTCAGAGGACTGCCGTTGTTCCCAGGGCTCCTTGGCTAAGCCAGTTTATTTTGTTTATTTATTACTTACGTATTCGTTAGATTTTGACCCCGCCCTCCCGGCCGAGGCTGGCTCAGGGCGGCTTACGTCAACACAGTGTGATGTGAAAATAACGAAAGATCTTAAAGCCATAAACATAATCATACCGTAAAGTGCTGGCGCTCCGTTTCCTCACCACGCAGTCCGTTCCTTGATCTCCTTCGGCTATCCTGGGCGGCCAGTTTGGGCCGTGGCCGGAGGGTCCTGAGGGTCAGGGCTCTCTCTCATCATCGGCTCCCAGGTGTCCGTAGGGGAGGGGGTGGCGGCTCCAAAAGTTCCGGCAAGTGGCCTAAATGGAGTTGGGCAACTATTTCAGCCCCCCCCGGGGGGGGGGAGGGAATATTTTGAGGGCTGGGCCTGTGGAAGTGTTCGGGTCAGATGGGGAGGCCGGGAATGTGAACGAGAGGCCGCTCTGTCCATGCTCAGAGTTCTCCGTCTCTTCCAGGGCTCGGTGGGAGTGGGGGGGTGGGGCTGGAACGCAGGCGTGAACAAAGCTGTGTGTGCCGGGAGGGAGTGGGGGGGGGAGTTTTGCCCGGGATCGCGGGGCTGGGAACGGGGGCCAGGCTGCTTCTGCAAGCCCCTCTGGCTTCCCCTCCCCAGAGCCGCCTGGCCATCGCAGAGTCCCGCCTGCATCGTGAGGAGGATCGCGGCGGCAGCAGCAGCGACCTAGAAAACGCCCTTATCCGTCTGGAGGAAGAGCAGCAAAGGTTTGTGCTGGGGGGGGGGGAAGACTGGGGAGGGGCAGCACTTTGAAAAGTCTTGCATGGGGGGGGGCAGCCATTGGCCCCAGTCCATGTGGCTTGACCCAAACAGCATTTGTGAGAACTGGGTGGAGATGCTGAGTTTGAGCTTCTTTGCCGTGTGGTCGCTCCTTTCATGGCGGCAGCGGCGGCTAGGAAGACCCTTTTCGGGGCACAGATGGCCACATACTGGGATGCTCAGCAGGAGCCCACAATCCTGCCACCTCAAGGGGCACCTGCAGGGAAGGGGAGAGTCAGTGTGCTGCGGGGACTAGGAAGTTCGACTGGGACCCCCGGGGGACCCGGCTTCCGATCCCTGCTTTGCCGTGGAGGGTCCCTGGGCCAGTCGTTCTCTCTCTCTCTGCCTGGCCTACCTCACAGGGGGGTTGTGGGGAGGCTGGGCGGTGGCAAACCTGCTGTGGCCTCCAGGGTTTCTTTGCCCTTTGGGGATCTCAGCGCGGCACACATGATGCTGCCCAGTGAGACCCGGGGCCAGCCACTCTGTTGTCCCGATGCCCAGGAGTGCCAGCCTTGCCCAGGTGAATGCCATGCTGCGGGAGCAAGTGGAGCAGGCCAGCACAGCCAACCAAGCCCTGAGCGAAGACATCCGGAGGCTGACAGCGGATTGGTCGAAAGCCCGAGGGGAGCTGGAGCAGCGGGAGGGCGAGTGGCGCCGGGAAAAGGAGGTGGGGCGGGCTGCAGCCCCTCTTCCCCCCGTCCCCTTCCACGCTCGACAGGCTGCAGCCGGGCCAGGCCCGGGGGGGTGGGGTGGGGATCGGGGCTGCACGGTGGCAAGCCGGAGGCAGAAGCCAGCATTGTGTCGTGTCTGTCGTGGGAGTGTCTGAGGGGTCCTCCCCGTTTTCCTCCCCGTTTTCCTCCCCGTTTTCCTCCCCAGTCCTTCAACATGTACTTTAGCAGTGAGCACAGCCGGCTGCTCACCCTTTGGCACCAGGTGGTGGGTTTCCGGAGACACTTCAGCGAGGCAAAGACCATGACGGAGAGGTCAGTGCTGAACGCCTTGGCCTCTGGGCTGGGCACTTCCACACAGCGGTCTTAAGCTGCATCGGAAGGGTCCAGAAGGGCTGCTCTGGTGTAGGAGGGTTAGAGAGTGCTGGCCCAGCCCACGGCAAGCCAAGAGTCACCTGCGTCCTGCAGCCTCCATGAATGATGCGGAGCGGGATGTATTTGTCTGAATAATGCTGCTGCTGCTGCTGCTGCTGCTGCTGCTGCTGCTGCTGCAGGGAGGGGGCAAAAAGCTGCAGAAGGTGCTAAAGCTGCCCCCCAGCCCCTGGGAATGACACACACACACACACACACACACCGTGCAGGTGGATATTGGGCTGGACGGTGCCCATGCTGCGTCAGTCCTGTCTTTGCAGCCAAACGGGGTGGACGTTTACTTGGCGCAGAGGGCTCTCTTGGGCTGCTCCATCCAGCCCCCTCTGCCCCCACCCTCGTTCTGCTGGTGGGAAGGATGGGCCCGCCCCTCTGGCCTCTTCCTGGAGCCACCTTGGATGGTGTCGGGCTGGTGGCACGCAGGCAGCCTGCACTGATGGACGGAGACACAGTTGTGATGGGGGGGGTGCCGCCCGCCCCTTCCGGTGACTCTCTTGTCCCCCGCCCCACCCCCCGGCAGAGATCTCCTGGAGCTGAGCGGCGAGCTGTCCCGGTCCAGCCACCTGGTGCACGCTGCCTGCCTGAACCTGAGCAGCAACCTCCGTCTGTCGGAGAGCAATGCCGGCACGGCTCTGGAGCAGCAGGCCCTGCTGACGGCCCAGCTGGAGGAGCAGCTGAAGGACAAAGTCCGCGACATGATCCAGCTGCAGGTCCGGTGCGACGCAGAGAAGGCAGAGCTGAGCAGCAGGTAGGCGTTCCCAGGCCGGCCGGCCGGCCAGCAGGCAGGGAGCTGAGAGGGGCACCCGAAGAAGCTGGAGGAGCCATCCAGAGCCCGGCGAGGTGAGCCGCTGGCCACAGGCTGTCTGATGTGGGCCTAAGTGGGGGGGGGGCTCCCCCCTGGAGCGCAAGCGGTTTCCGCCAGTGGAGCTTCAGTCGGGCCAGGACGGGACGGAAGGCTTCCTTGGCGTTTTCCTGTGTCCCCGAGCGAACATGCTTGTTCGTGGCCTTTGTCAGTAGCCTGCCTCTCTCACTGCGACTCAAGGCATCTGTTGGAGAAGAAGTGCACAATGCGAGAGAACACAACAAGCAGTGCAGTCGAAACAGGGGAAGGCAGTGAGCGCTCCTAAGCTGCCCCAGGAGAGCGAGCCACAGTGTTGACAGACACTCGGCAGCCGCTCACCCTCTTCCCAGTCTCAAGAGGTCCTCCTGAGCGGCCCGTCATTCCCCATTTGTCAGGCTGCCCACCCCAGCAGGAGGAGTGGCGTGGCTTTGGCAAGTCTGGGGTTTTGCTCACCTGTGTGTGTCACCTGTGCCTCCCGCCCTTCCAGAGTCCTTGAGGTCACGTCCAGCTTAGAGCGCCTGAAGGCCCAGAACGCTGAGAAGGCCAGTGCCATAGAGGGGCTCACCCGGAAGCTGGAGGCCCAGGTGAGTGGAGGGGCCGTGTGGCTCGGCCGGGGACTGTCCTCTTCTGCGCTCTCCCGGAGCTGACCCCGTGCCTGTTTTAGCCGGCCAGGGGGTCACGGCAGACGAGGGGCCGGGTGCTCTTGGCATGGCTCGCTTCCCTGTTGCCCACCAGCAGTGGCTGTGGAGGCTGGGTCGGGGACGTTGTGTGAAGAGAGACATTTCCACTCTACCTCCCCCATCCTCTCTCTCCTGAAAGGTGGGCACCCTTGAGGCCAGCCAAGAGGGAGAGTCTTTCGTTCCCCACCCCACCCCCTGTCCCTAGGCGGTCACGGTTCTTGTGGGTGAAACCAGGCGGGTGGGAGGGTGGCCCCCCCCGCACTGTAGCCCCACGTCTGATCGGGGTCCCGTCCTGCAGCTTTTTTAGCCTTTTCTAAATGCTGAGACCTTCTGGCACCTCCCAGCAGCAGAGCTGTGTTGGCCTTTTGGCACGGAGGCCGCAGGTCTCTGCAGTGAGCAGGGTGACAGAGGAGACCCGTGTCCCAGGCAGGTCCCCCAAAGTGTTTTAGAAACCAGTGGTGGCCAATCATGCCAAGGAAGCAGGGTGGGAGCGATGTGGGAGGACAGGTGGCTCTCTAGGGTTTACGCTGAAGCCGCTTGGAAGTGATGAGAACCACGCAAGATGGGGCACATTTCTGGCACCTGCCTTAAGTGTTGTGTCCTACTGTTCAGAGGAAGAAAGGTGCTGCGGGTAGTCCCTAACAAGGCCGGTGGCCCTCTCTTCCCTGTCAAACGTGAGGAGTGGGTCTGGGGATGGGGCCTCGAGGCCCCTCTCTTGCTCATCCCACGCATCTTATCCCAGGAAGCTGTGCGTGCCCAGGAGCAGGCCGCCGCGGAGGCCGGGGAGCTAGAAGCCTTGCGAAGTGAGTCGGCCGTGCTGCAGCAGACGTTGCGAGACCTGGCTCAGGTGTGGAGCAGCAGAAGTGAGGCTGGCAATGGTCCTCCCGCCCCGGGAGATGGGCCAGGCCCGCTGGCTCTGTGGAAATCCCGGGAGGAGCCACGTGGGCAGAGGGCAATGGGGCCCAGCCAAGCATCGCCATCTTTCCCCGCAGGCTGTCTTCTCCGATACGGATAGCGCCATTCACTTCTCGTCCACTGACCGGGCGACCGATGTCTCAGACAGCGACGCCACCGGGCTCAGCCTGCGAGCCTTGTCCAGCAGCCTCCGGACGCCATCCCCACGGCGGCGATCCTCCCCCCGACGTAGCCTCTCCCCGGTTTTCTCGGACTCCACGTTCATGGCAGTGCGGTCTGCCTTCCACAAGCGCCAGCTGCAGCTGCAGGTGAGGAGAAGACCAGGCTGGTGGCGGGCCAGGCGCTGTGGGGGGGACAGCTGGGCCAAAACAGTGATGTAAAACTTGGAGGGGGGGGGATCACTTTCCCCCAGTCCCCCCCCCCCCCCCCCCCCCCCCCCCGGAGGGACTTCTTTCAGTGTTTCTGAAAGTTGGGGATGTCGGGGTGCATTGGGGGGAAAGTATTTTCTCTTTTGGAATGAGTGAATTGCTTTTCAAGCCAAGATTTTAGACACCCAGATTTTAGATTATGAAGATTTTATTGTGAAGCAAGCTGCAGCATTGGATAATGACAGTTCCTGTATATACACCGAACATTCAGTGTATTTTAAGCTCTATATTGTATGCTTGAAATGCAAGTGATTTTGCCCACAATATGCTGTGTGGTACAAAATTTAACTCGTTAGCTAACTTGGAATCGTATGAGGCTCCCTCTGTCCCCCAAGCCCCACTTTCTGCTGCTGCTGCTTCTTTTTGTGTGCATGCTTTTCCCCACGTTCCTTTTTTTCTTGCCTCTCGCTTGGCAAAAACAACGAGAAGTGCGCTGATGCAGCCGTCCCAGGCTCTGTCCTTCGCTGTGCTCTCCCTCTCCCTCCCCCCCCTCCCTCCCTCTCTCTCTGGGACACTTCTGCTTGTAGCTAATAAAGGCCTTGAGCCTTTTAAATCTGTTGGATAGCATGGTTTTGTAAGTTTATCCCATTGTTAACGATGCATTTTCTTGCTGAAGCAGCGGCGCATGTCTGTTGATCCCAGGAGCCTTGAGCCGGGCTCTGGACGGGCATCCCAGGTGGCTTCTCAGTTCACGTTGAAGGAGTGGGGTGTGTGTGTGTGCACAGTCCAGGCAGCCCCTCTCCTTCGCCCCCCACAGCCCCGCTCAGCCCTGCAGGTTTGGCTCCTGTGGCTGCAGCAGGCAGGCCCTGAGCGTCCGGCAGAGCTCTCTATTCATGAGGGCCAGAAGCTTGCTTTTAAAAAACAAAACCAAACCGTGAGAGCCAGCGTTGTGCTGTTGCACAGACTCCCCGACTCCCTCCAACACCGTCCGGGGCCAGTCCTTGGAACCCATTCTCCGGCCCTGGCTGCGTCTGCGTGCCGAAGGCTTTTCGCCGGCCGACTGAGGCAGAGCGTTTGCTGCTTGTCACCCCTGGCAGGAGGCCCGTGGGAAGTACGAGGCCAGCCAAGATCTGGTGGCCTCCTTGAAGAGGCAGCTGGCCAAGGGCGACCACGAACACCGTTCCCTTAAGCAGAAGGTCCTGCAGCTGAGAGACGAAGTGGACAGCGTGGCGCGGGCAAAGGAGGATGCCCTGCGAGATGCCAGCCGCTCCCAGGCATCGGTGGATCTTCTGGCCAGGTGGGAGAGCTTGATGAGGCAGTGGCAAAGGACGGCTGCTGTCCGCTAACAGCCAGTGGGTCGTCCCACACGGGAGGCCTCCCGGACTGCTTGCTGTCGGCCTGTGCTGGGCTTGCTGGCTTCCAGTCATAGGATGCCACCAGAGTGGTGGGGGAGGGGGAGGGGGCCTCTCCCTGCCTCCTTTACTCCATGCGGCAGCACAGAGTGAAGCCTCTCTTAGGTGGCCAAGTGGTTCAGAAAGGGAGTCTCCCTTTCTGGGGAGGGGCAGGCGGCCATCTGTCACAGATGCTCTAGCTGTGGGTAGCTCGTATGGAGCTGGAGGTTAGACCAGATGGCTTCTGAGGGCTCCCTTCCAAAGGGCTTCCCCTGGGGCCTAGCACGACCCCCCCGTTGCCCTCTTATTCCCTTTTTATTCACTTTGCCAGAAATGGGCGAGTGAGATGGAAGCTACAGGTATGGGGCCCTCGCCCCCGCTTTTTTCCATGCAAGCTATGGGGTCTCTCTCTCTCTCACTCTTCCCCCCCATGCCAGTGAGAAGACTATCCTGGAGAAGGAGCTGCAGGCCCTGCAGCAGAAGTTTGATGCCTGGAGGAAGGAAAATGAGGAGTTGTTGCGGGCCGGCAGGGACCTTCAGTGCCGGTGTGAGGCCCTGGAGGCAGAGAAAGAGTCCCTCTTGGCGGATCGGGAGCGAGGCCGGAAAGAGAGAGAGCGGGGGTGGGTGAGCAGTCCCAGGGCTGTAGGTGGGATGGGGAGGCCGCGGGGCGGCTGGGCTGCAGAACCCTGAGGAACGTTGGCAGCGGCCTTGGCAAATTCTCTCTCTCTCTCATATATATATATATATATCCAAAGGAGGCTGGCCTCCCGGCATGGCCTCCCTTGGAAAAACATGTCTCCCAGAATGTGTGTGAGGAGCGCTTCTGGGTAACCCGAACGCCTTGGGAATGTGGCATGCCCCGGGAGACAGGGCCATTCTCGCTGCGCCCATGTGTTTTCCTCCGTCTCCTTGGGGATGCACTCAGGTGATTTTTGCAGGATGCCTGTAAGCCCCTGTCATGACTCCAGTGGGTTTTCCCCTTCTGCCGCCACCACCCTGGACTTTGGTCCCTGCTGAGAAGGGCCAGGGTACCCTAACAAGCCCCTTTTCAGCCGAGAACACACAGGCGTGATTGACCCAGGCAGAGAGAATTAATTAAACAGAAAAACAACACTGGGGCATGGAAAGCAAGACAGTCCTGCACAGATCATGACACACACCCCCCTCCCCGGTTGCTTCTTGCAGGCACAAGCAGCTGGAGCACCTGGAGGGGCAGACGTCGGCCCTGAAGAAGGAGCTGGTCCTTCTCCGGGAGGCCCTCGGCCAAGTGGCCCTGGAGAAGGAGGTGGCCGAGAGTGAGAAGGCCCAGGGGGCTGAAGCCCTTGCCAAAGGGGTGTGTGTTGGTGTGGGGGAGATGGTTCAAGGCCTGCTTCCTGTTTCTAGGCACCCAGCTGGTTTTGGAGGGGGCTGGGGGCAGCCCGGGGGTCTTAACTGTATAGTGCTCTGCTTGAGGGCCTCCACTCTGCACTCTGGCTTCAGAGCAGGCTCCTAGCAGCAGTGTAAGGACCTTGGCAGCCATTCGGAGCTCCCCTTCTGCTTGGGATGGGGCTCAGGTTTCCCCTTCTGCACATCTGCACAAAGCCCGGGTCAATTCTGGTGCTGGCTCCATCAGGGTTTTTTGCATCCTTGTGTGGCTGAATGACATCCCCTGCTCTGTACAGCAGCAAACGACCGCTAGAAAGACACCACGTGGAAGCCGCCCTGGGTCCCAGACAATGTTCCCTCTAAGCTGTGCAGTCTTGTGAGCAAAAACTCTACTTTGTGAGCTGCTGGCATTAAAGTTGTGAGTGAGCGATTTGGCTACTGCATAAATTAGTTTGCTCTGGAGCCATCCTTCCTGGGCTAAGGCAAAAATCTGTGAGCCGGAGGCTAAAGAACTGTGAGCAAGCTCACACTAACTCAGCTTAGAGGGAACACTGGTCCCACAGCCAATAGCCCCGTCCTGTCCCTGAAGCGCCAGCAGCAGATTTGAGTCCCTGTGGCTTTAGGAAGAGTCCTGGGCTTCCAGGGTTTGGCCCTGAGTGGCTCGCTGCCCCCCCCCCCCCCCCCGGCAGAAGCGAGCCACGCTGATCTGGAACGGACCCTGAACAGGCTGAGGTCGGAGGAGGCCTCTTTGCGGGACTCTCTCTCCAAGATGAGTGCCCTGAACGAGGGGCTGGCCCAGGATAAGATGGAACTCCACCGCCTCGTCATCGAGGTACGGCCTGGGGGAGGGAGATGACGGGAGGGACGCAGAGTCCCGCATGCTGAAGATCTCTGCTTAATCTGATGGTCCTGGCCTCCGGGGCTGTGTGGGCAGTGGCCCGGTGAGGTGAGAAGCAAGTCGGGAGGTGGGAGCGGAGCAGGGTTTCCAGGGCTGCCTTCCAGCCGCAGGCTGACTGGTTCCAGAGGAGCCCCGTGGGTGCCCCTTTGCCCGCTGAGTGGAGGATGCGGGACTCAGAGTTTGGGGGCAGGGGGGGGAGTATTATTTAGTCGTGGCTGGTTACGAGGACCCTGGTGGGCTTGCGGGAGGGGAGGGGCCCTCCCCCCCCTTCTGCCTGCCGTGTGATGAGCCCCCCTTTCCTTGCGGGGCCAGCTGGAAGCGGAGAAGGCGGCCCTCCTAGAGGCAAAGCAGGAAGCGGAGCAGGAGAAGGCCGCGCTTCGGCTGGAGCTGGTGCAGCTGGAGCAGGAGAAGCTGGACTTGGCTGCGGAGCACCATGCCATGGGGCATGCGCTGCAGGCTGCGGAGCAGAGCAGGGAGCAGCTGGAGCGGGAGCTCTTGGCGCTGCAAGGGGAGCGGGAGCAGGCGCAGGGGCAGCTGAGCCAGGTGAGCCGCGGTGCAGCGAGGCGGGCGCAGGGCTGGTTTCCTTCCCCTCCTGCTGCTGAGCTGAGGGGGGAGCTGGCGTTGCCGCTGCCAGCCTCACAGGTGATCGTGCCACGTGTGTGTGCGTATCAGCAGCTGACTGTCCTCCGACCGACGAGCACTCCTGCACGTGCCTTTCGAACAAACCTTGCTCTTTGCGCCATCTCCCCTTCTTTGAATGCAAAGGCAAATGTGGCAAAGGCTTCCAAGGGCTGGACGTGCATTTTGCTGAACCTGCACTGCCAGGGAGGGTCTTCTGGGAAAGAGCGCCTGCAAGACTGCTGGTTTCTTCCTGACCCCAGTCCTCGACCTCTGGGGGTCAAGGGGGTGTTGCCCAGGGAGTGCCGTCTGCCCATGCTCCTTGCGCCTCCTTTGAGGGCTGAGCTGTGTTTCCTGCGGGAGCTCTGCTGGATTTGGATGGGGGCTTGGGGGCCGTGGCTGTGGCTGGGGACCAGGGAGGGCTTCGCATTTGGAGGCCTGGCTGCTGCCCCCTCCTCTCCTCTCCTCCCCCAGCTTTCTCGCCAGAGGGAGTCTGCCAGCGAGGCACTGGGACAGGTGCGCAAGGAGCTGGAGCGCCACAGCGAGGCCCTGCTCAGGGCAGCCAAGGAGAAGGAGAGGCTGATGAAGGAGGCGGCCAGCCTGGCGGTCCAGCTGGCCGCCTCGGAGCGGGACAACCGGGGGCTGGCGGAGGAGATCGCTGGCCTCAGGTAGGGGGACGGCGGCAGCTCCTGGGCTGCTCCAGTGTCCTCACCGCGGAGCGGGTGGGGTTGGACAGTCACCGGGCGGCGGCAGCAGCAGTGCGGCGTGTGGCTGGGTGGGGTGCTTGGCTCCCCCTCGCTGGCAGGAGTCCCGGAGAGTCCCCCCGCACGAAGGAAGGTCCCCGTCTTGCTCGGCTCTTTTCCTTTTTCTGCAGCTGCTTTCCCTGCCTCCGCAGCCCCAGGCCTCTCCCTCCGCCTTCGGGAGGGAGGCGTGCCGTCCCAAGCCCAAGCACCGAGGTGCCCTCCGTTGTTCCTGTGCCCCCCGTGCAAGATGGGGGCCTGTTTTGTGTCTTCTTCCTCTGCCCCCCTTCCTCTTTGGATGCTCGGGGAGGGGGGGGAGGCCCGGGGAAGAGGGGCCCCGGCACAGGGCCCAGCTGAGCTGCGGAAGGGCTCGGACTGCAAGAGGCCGAGCAGGACTCAGAATAGGGCTGGGTAGCCGCCGGCCCTCTGCCAGGCCCAAAGGGTGCCCCTGACCTGCCAGGAAGACGGAGGCGAGTCAGTATCGTGGGTCAGTCGTGAGCAGTGGGGCCCCGGAGGACTCCCGTGGTGCCGTCCTGGCCCCGGAATCCCGTGTGCCATCCTGGGCCCCGTGTCTCGGCACAAGGGCACCCCCGGGGCCTGCAGAAGAGGGCAGAGGGGATCACAACAGGGGCTTGTTAAATGGTGCAGGGGGGGTGGGGGGCCCTGATGGGCAAGTGATTCAGAACAGGCGCAGCACATTTGTGGAGCTTGGCTTTGGAATCCCGTGTCCGTCGGTCCCCGTTCGCCTAGCCGGCATAGCGAGCTGGAACGGCTGAGTCCTGTGGCCACGTGTCAGGTGGCGGGGGAGGCTTTGGCCACTGTCCCTGTGGGGGACTGGCCCTGGTTGGCTCCGAGGCTGCTCAGGGGCGCTCTTTGTGGTCTTCCGAACTTTGTCCAGGGCAGAAAAAGACACCTTGGAGACGACCCTCTTTGACGTCCAGCACCGTCTGGCTCAGGTGGACGCCCGGAAGGAGCAGCTGGAGTCACAGAGCCAGGCCTTGCTTTTGGCCAAAGAAGCCCTGCAAGGTGGGTGGACTGGGGGGGGAGGGCCTCCCCCTCCCCCTGATCTTGGGTGTTTGCCGTGGTCCAGCTCTTGCAGGGCTTAGCTCTGCAAGAGGGACCTCAGCCAGCCCTTTTCTCAAGGCCACGCTCTGGGCAGAGGGGGTGTGGGGGGGGGCCTCTGAGACGCATCCCCGCATTCTGAGGCTTTGCTGGGGGGCGGGGCCCGAGAGTCCTCCATGGAGAGGGCGCATCTCTGCTCCAGCCGGAGGTCTCCCTGAGGGTGGGCGGGAGGATTCTCCGTTCCTCCTCCTCTTGCTAACGTCTTCCTGTCCGGGGCAGGGGAACTGAGCAGCGTCCGCAAGCAGATGGAGGCCGAGGTGAGCCGGCTGGAGCGGGAGAGGCAGCTCCAAGCGCAGAAGTCGTCGCAGGCAGAGGAAGAGGCCCAAGCAGCCCTGAAGACCAGGCAGGCAGCACACGAAGAGGATGTGGCCCACCTTCGGAGGGAGAAAGTATGTGGCGTGGCAGGCCTGGCGGATTGGGTCCCCGTGCAAGGCTGGGCTGCAGCAAAACAGAGCAAGGAGTAGATCTACTAGAATACCAAGTCTCGCTGGGGGATGCAAAAGGCATTTCGCACTAACGTTCCAGGTGGAAAATGCCATTGTTAAGCCATGCTGGCTCCATCCAGTCCCGTGTCCCATTGCAGTCAGTGACAGCCAAGCAGGCCCTTCCGGGATGCTCAGAAACCTGCGGCAGGCCCCTCCCCCACTTCCCTCCCAGCACCTGGCATTCAGAGGGAGAGGTAGACTCTTTCTGAACGTGGAGGTTCCATGTAACTCTTAGCGATTGTCAGAGACCTGTTACTCTCCATTAGTGGACCGAATCCCTTTGAAAGCCCGTGGCCATCACCTTATCTTGTGGCGGTGAGTTCCAGAGGTTTGATTCATCAAGCTTAAGGAGGGAGGCAGTTGATCTATTCCTTGAAGGGCTGGAGTCTGTCTCGGCCACCTGGACAAACACCTTTCTGCTTGCGAGGCATGTTTTGGTGCTGGGAAGTCACGGCAGAAGCAGCGCTCCCTGCGGGCTGGTGGCTGGACCGGATCCCGCCACACCCAGCCCCCGGGGTGCTCTTCCTTCCTTGCAGGAGGCGCTGAGGAGGGAGCTGGAAGCCGAGCGGGAGGAGCTGCAGGGCCGCCTGACGCAGGAGCGGGAAGAGCTGCTGGCTCAGCACGAGGCCGAGAGGGAAGAGCTGAATGAAGAGCTCACGGCGCTCCAGCAGGAGCGGGACGAGGGCCTCCTGCTGGCCGAGAACGAGAAGCAGCAGGTGCTGGGGGAGGCCGGGGGGGGGGCTGCGGAAGAGAGGCTCTGCACTCACCCCCACGGGGTGAGCCTTTGGCCCCTGAAGTGACTCTGGTGTCACTGCGGTGGGGGGTTTCTGCTGCCTGTGATATCCTCCCCCGCCCGGGAACTCCAGTCCTGCCCAGGGCCAGTGGTGGCTGCTGAACTGTTGCCAGAGGGAGAGTGGATATGTGGCCCCAGCTCAAGAGGCGCCGCCGGAGCTCCGAGGCAGTGGGGGGGGAGGGGAGGCTATGGCCCCTCTTCCTGGGGCGGGGGGGAGGGCAGGAGAGGACCACTGAGGTGCGTTTCCTTGCATGCCCTTCATTTTATATGCACTTGCGATCCCCGTCCCCCAGTGTGGATTTTCAAATGATGCCCAGAAGTGTTTGGTACGGGGGAAATCCTGCAGGAAGGATGGCGCCTCTTCACGCTGCAGCCAGAAGAACTAGAAGGCTGTCTTTGAAATAGCCGCCCCCCCGGCCCCCGATGAAGGCGGAGCTCTGAAAGGGACCTCCTCCTGTGCATGCCGAGTGCCCACATGGTCTCCGCTCAGCACCCCTGCTGATGGCCCAGCGGGGGCCCGTTGTGCGTGTTCCAAGCGCTGGGCCCCAGAGGCCTCCGCTTAGACCCCTGGACCAAGCGGCAGTGGTGTGGTGCTCGGCTGTCCTCAGCCTTGCCAAAACGGGAGGGGGGGGCTCTTAGGGGAAGGCAGCGGGGGGGGGCACGCAGAGAGCCGTGCCTGTGTGTGTGTGTGTGTGTGTGAGAGAGAGAGACCTTGCCTCCTGCCCTGTCCCTAGGCGCTCTCCCTCAAGGAATCGGAGAAGGCTGCACTCCTGGAGAAGCTGTCGGGGGCCCAGCAGAGCCTGGCCAGCCTGAGCTTGGAGCTGAATGGGCTCAAGCGAGATGCCCAGAGCCGGCAGGAGCAAGAGCGGGTGGGTATCAGTGTGCAGGCGGGGGGGGGGGGGGGGGGGACATGTGAGCCAAAGCCCCCCCCCCCCCGGAGAGTGGAAATCCAGCTTCGAGCAGAGCTGCCCCACCTGCAGGTGGTTCGCAGGAGTGCCCCCGCTCGCATGAAGGTGGGCCCCTTTGGTTGCAGGCCTTTGCCCTGAGCGGCTCCCTTCCGGCTCCAGCCCGAGAGTTGGAAATGCCCTGTTTTTTTAAACAAAAGCAATCATTGCTGGCTGCAGTCGTGAAAAACAGGACTGCGCAGAGATTCTGCAAAGAATCCTGATCTGGTGAGCCGGCGAAAGAGGCCAAGAGGGGGGGACCTGGAACAGCCTGCCCAGGGAGGTCTCCCTGCCCTGCCCTGCCCTTCCCTCCCACCCACCCATCCCTCTCGATCTTTAGGAGGCAGATGAAGACCGGTTCATTTAGGACTGCGTTGGATTGATTTAGCTTTTCTTCTTTTCTTCTAATTTTTTTTTTCTTTTCTTCTAATTGAAGTCTTTGAATTGTGACTTTTTACGGGTTTTGTAGAGGGTGGCATTTCTTGTGCTTTTTATATGGTTTTGTTTATACTCTCAGCCGCCTGCAGTCCTGCAAGGGAGGAAGGCAGCTAGTAAATGTTTTAAATAAGTAAATAAGTAAGTAAATCAGTAATGAAATAGGTGTGTCCCCCCCCCCACTCCTCGACTCTGTGGGGCTGCACCCTCCCCCCTACGGTGGTTGCTCTGGCCACGATTAGTGCCGCACCACCACCAGCACCACCACCACTGTGGGGGAAGAAGCCGTTTCCCCGGCTGGGGCAGCTGGCGTCGGGCTGCCCGAGGCACCAAGGGCTTGCCTCTTCCCCCGGCTGCAGGCCACAGTCGCTGCCTTGAATGCGGAGCTGCGGAACCTGCGCAGGCAGCTCGAAGACGTCGTGGCAGGCCACGAGCAGGAGGTGAAGGTGCTAGGCGACCAGGCCCGGGACCTGGGAAAGCAGAAGGAGTCTGCCCTCCGAGAGGTGAGTGGCCTGCCTGGAGGAGGCGTGATGGGCCCTGCTGGAACGGGCGGCCTGAGCCAGCCTCCAGCCTCTCGCAGTGCTTCTGGGAAGGCCGCAGGCAGGGCCGACTGATATATGGGGCTCCGCGGCAGACTGTCCTCTTCCCTCTGACAGCCAGGGGCCGCTCATCCCCCCCTCCCATTTGTCTAGCCCCTTTTTAAAGCTGTCTAGGCCATTGTCACGTCCTGGGGCAGCCTGTACCACAGAGGTTAAATATCCATTCTCTGAAAATGTGGTTTCTTTTGCTTAATCCTGGGAACCCCCAACCCATCGTAAGAAGGGTTCCTTTACCCCCCCCCCCCGACCGCCCATATTTTTTTAGGTTAAAAAAAGGGGGGGGGGGGGGGGGGGCCGCCCCGGATTGGCCCCTGCCGCCCGCCCAGGTGGAGGAGCTGAGGACACAGCTGCGCCTGGTGGAGGACGCCCGGGACATCCTCCGCCAGGACCTGCTGGAGGCTCAGCACCAGGTGCGTGAAGCCCAGGAAGAGCGGGAGACCCAGCGCAAGGAGGCCGTGGACCTGCGCCGGAGCCTGAGTGACGGAGCCAAGGAGAAGGAGGCCCTGCAGCAGTCCAACACAGAGCTGCGTGCCAGTGTGAAGCGTGCCGAGGGCGATCGCATCAGGTGAGGGAGGAGTCAGCCGGGGGGCGGCCCCCGCATCCCGGCGTGGCCTGGTCCAGGAGGAGTCCGCTCGCGGGCCCGTGGCTCCTTGTCTGCCTTGCTTGAGGAGGGGGAAGTCTGGATCTGTGGCACTTTCTGACCAGACCTTTGGTTGCGGTTGAAATGTCCCTGCCTGCCCGCCCCCAGTTTGAAGCGTGCCAACGAAGAGAAGGAGCAGAAGGTATCCATCCTGGAAGAGGTGCGGGCCGCGGTGGGCAAGGAGGCGGCTGACCTGCGCAGCAGCCTCCAAGAGGTGGAGCGATCACGCCTGGAGGCCCGGCGGGAGCTGCAGGAGCTGCGGCGGCAGGTATCGCGGAATCACAGAGCTGGAAGGGACCTCCCACTCCACACGGCAGGGGGATTCACACATACCTCCCCCTCCACCACACCCCCAGTGACCCCTGCTCCACACCCAGAAAAGATGACCAAAAACCTCCAGGATCCCCTGGGCCAAACCGGCCCGGAGAAAGAATGGCTTCCCGACCCCAAGGTGGCGATCGGCCTTTCCCTGGGCATGTGTCAGAAAGGGCCAGGAGAACTGAGCCCTGAGGCCGCAACCCTCCCTGCCCTCCCCTTCTCACGAGATCGGCCTGGGTTCACAGAATCAGCAGTGCTGTCGGATGGGGCCACCTAGCCTGTGTTTGACCACCCCCGAAGGAGGAGAGCCCACCCCCTCCCGAGGAAGCCGGTTCCACTGAGGAGCCGCTCTGACTGCTCTGCCACTCCCGCTTTCCACGTGGCCCCAGTGTCCCTCGCACCCCGGCCCTCTCCTGAGCCTGCTCAAGCGCTGTTGCGTGGCTGTCCCCCAGGTCAAGATGCTGGACAGCGAGAAGACCAAGAAGAGCCGGGAGGTGGCTGAGCTGCAGGCCCGCGTCGCTCGCGATGAGCAGCGCGAGGAGGAGAGCAGACGGGAGTCCTTCAGCCTCAAGCAGAAGATCGTGGCCAGTGAAGCCGGCAGAGAGTCAGCCAGGAAGGAGGTGAGCTGTGGGCCCTGCTTGGGCGCTCGGGTCTGGAGGGAGCCCGCCCGAACCGCTCCAGGTGCCTTTCCTTTTGACCCCCCTCCTTGCTTGCTTCTCGCCTCATCTCGTCTGGAAGCCTGGGTAGGCGCGCTTGTGTGCCAGGAGGACGGGATTTGGTTAAGGCATTCAAGTGCGCTGGTGGTCCCCAAAATCCCAAACCTTGCAGGGGGGGGGTCCACCTACTTGCCTCACCGCAGGAGCCGCTCTGCCCAGAGGGAGTCCCCAGGCTCTCCAGTGGGACTTACTTACTGCCAGGAAGAGTGTTTTTAGGATTGCAGCCGCTATGCAGCACTGCTCTGACCTTCCCCTCCGAATAACCGCCACTGCGTACAGGTAATTCTGCCTTGTCTCTGCCCTCTGTGTGGATCGGCAAGCAGGAGAGAAGTGGTGGTGGTCGTTCGTAGCTCCTGACACTGCAGTTATCTGCCTTCAGTGGAGGATGGCCTGCTGTCTCTGCCTGAGTCTCTGCTCTCTTGTGGACGTGTGTGTTCATCCAATCAGAGAACAGTGATTTATGCAGAAATTTGTGGAGAAAGATGTTTCCTGTATAGTATTCAAAAGTAAACTTTTTGGCCCTGAAACTGACACCGCCCTCCTATTTTAAATCAGGAAGGATGAGCAACAAAACAAGAGCCAGACTGGCTGTATCACACCAGCCTCCTGGATCAGACACAGCAACCAAGCAGGGGCCCCGAAGGGCCAACCAGCCAACAGGGTGTCAAGACCCTGGTGTTGCTTCCATACCCTGGAAGAAGAAGCATGCGGAGGCTCCTTCTAGTCGTCCTCCTGGGCCGTCACTACTTCCTCTGGCGGGGAATTCTGCAGTGTAACTGCTCACGGCAAGGTCCCCCGAAGTCGTGCCTGTGGGTGCTACAGGCCCCCCCCCCCCACGTTTCGCGGCCTCCGCCAGGTGTTTTTTGAAAGTGGGTGGGGCTTGGGTCCAGGGCTTCTGGCTGGCCCCTAGCCATCTGATTGGTTGCGGCTGCGTTTTAGTTGTGGCTGGGCACACGTCCCTGCCCTGCGCCAAACTGTCAAAGGCACCTGCGTGCTGAGAAAGGACTGGGCCTCTCGACATACTGAATCAATTCCTTTTATCTGCCCTGAATCCGTCACCTTGCAGCTTCATCAGGTGTCTCCCAGTGCTGGAATGAGGGGAGAAGGAGAGGGAAGACGCTTTCTCCATCCTGTGCATAACTTTATAAATCCTCTGTCGTGTCCCCCACCCCCCACCCCGAGTTGTCTTTACGATGTAGAAAAGAGTCCCGGACTCACAGGGAAGGGGCTCCACCCCCCCCCCCCCCCCCCCCTTTATCTCTGCTTGATCCAACTCTACGATGTCCTTGTTGAGATCAGGCCCCCAGAACGGCACTCAGTATTCCGGATGAGGCCGCGCTCCTTGTGGTTCTCTGCGGGACATTGCAGGGCTGGCTCCTTGGCTCTCAGCCGGGCTCCTGAGACCCCTCCGCACGGAGTTTGCCCCTTTCCACAGCCGCTGCACACGGAACCGACATTTTCTTCAAGCTCTTCGCTACGGCCGTGGAGGTGTCTCTCTCCGTCTTTGTCGCGGCCCATTCAGATCCCTCTGGCGTGTATCTCGAGGCGAGGTTTTGTGTCCACGAGTGTCCATGACGGCACACCTTCAGAGGTTACCTGGAGTGGCTTTCAGCCACGGCCTTCCCCTTTTTCACCCCTCACTCCTAGGTCCACAACCTGCAGCGGAAGGTGACAGACCTGGAGCGTGAATTCCACCGGAGAGAGAGAGAATTGCTGGCCAGTCTGGAGGAGGCACGGACCAGTGAGAGGAGGCTCGTCGACAACGGACACAACTTGGAGGTGAAGCTGGAGACTGCGCAGGCCGAGGCGGCGGCGTTGAGCCTACGCCTCAGTGCAGCTGAGGGGCGTGCCCATGGCCTGGAGGCAGAGCTGTCCCGCGTGGAGACCCTGAAGCGAGACGTGGAGTTCAAGCTGAGCAGCCTCTACTCGTCTCTGAGGCGCACCGTGGGCATTGGCCAGAGGGGCCGTGGCCCCAGCCCTGCCCTTGGAGGGCGCAGCCGCTCCCCCCAGAGGCGCTTCTCCCCTCCAAAAGGTATCCTTCCCAGAGGGGGAGGCTGGGTCGCCTGAGCCTGTCTGCCTGGCACTCTGTGGCGTTGCCGGGCAGTCCCATCTCTCTGGTCCCTTTTGATGGCTTCATGTCGCTGCAGGTGGGCAAGGCAGCCCCACCCCAGAGGCCCAAAGCCCAAGCTCCGGACCCCCCTCCGCCGAGCGTGCCGTCTCCCCGAGCCGCCCCGAGCAGCTGGTGGTGGACACCGTCGACCCAGAAGCCGTGCGGATTGCACTCCGGGACTTCCTGCAGGAGCTGAGGGCGGCTCAGCGAGAGAGGGTGTGTGGACGGTGCTCTTGGCACTCCCGCCTGCCGCGGCTTCGCGTCACTGCCTCTCCAGGCCACTGCCTCTCCGGGCCACTGACCGGCCTGCCTCTCTCTTTGGCACCCCAGGACGAAGCCCGGTCCCAGCTGGCTACCTGGAGCCACCAGCTGTCCGACCTGGAGGGGCAACGGGATGCAGCCGTGACGCAAGCGCAGCAACTGCAGAAGCAGCTGGCTGAGTGCAGCGAAGGTACCGGGGTGTGTGTGTGGCTGAGGCGGTGCTTGCTTGCTTGCTTGCGTGGGCCACCACTGGGCCGGGCTGCCCTTCTGCTGCTGCTGCTGCCGCCGCCGCCCTGGGAAGGTTCAGTGGTCAGGCTCTAAACCTGGGGGAAATGACCGGGCTTCACTGGAAGGCTGGGGGAGGAGGGGCTGGGCAGCAGCCAGGCCCCGCCCCCCCCACCCGCCCAGCCTTTGGCCTTTCCTGGGATGAGGCTCTTGTTACCCGGACCCCGCCCCCGTTCCCCCACTCGGCAGTTTCGAGCAGGAGACCACAGCTGCCCTGCCGGGTCACGCGAGTGAGAGAGGACCCCCTCCAGTCCGGCCTCCTGTCCCACGCAGGGGCCAGTGGGTCATTCTGCAGGGCCCACCACAGCGCCTAGAAGCCAAGGCCTTCCCCCCCATGTTTCCTCCTCGCCCTGTTGGCTTACTGCCTCTGTCTGTGGAGGTTCAGTTTACACACCATGGCTCGTAGCCGTTTAATGACTCCTCGTTATTAAAGAAGTCTGTCCTGTGACCCATCAACTCCATCAGGGCCTCCCACTCCCCATCATGTTAGCAACCTTTCTTCTGTGTCCCCCCCCCCCTGGTCTTCGATTGTCTGAACTCAAGAGTGTTTATTTATTTTTTAAATTACATTTACTAGGCCACCCTTCCCTACGAGTAGGCCTCAGGGTGGCTTACAACAGACTAGGATACAATCTCAGTATAAAACTAAATTAAAACAATCCAATAAATGCCAGTTGGTAAAAACAGTATCTATACAATGTAGGAGATGGCAGAGAAATCCAAACTCCCCGGCCTCCCGGGGGGGGGGGGGGCCGTCAGGGTTGAAACGCCGCGGGGGGGGGGGGGGTCCGTCAGGGATGAGGGATTGCAGGAGAAGGTGCCAGAAGGAAGGAAGAAGCCCCGTCGCTGCCCTCAGCCGAAGGCCCGGCGGAACATCTCTGCCTGGCAGGCCCTGCGGAAAGGCAGCAGCTCCTGCAGGGCACGGATGTCCTCCGGCAGGCAGAGCATTCCCCCAGGCGGGGGCCAGGGCTGAGAAGGCCCTGGTCCTGGTCGAGGACAGCTGGACCTCTCTCGGGCCAAGGACCACCAGCGAGTTCTTATTCCCTGAGCGCATAATGCTCTTCCCAATGGGCATACAGGGGGGAGAGGCCGTCCCGGAAAGGGGTATGTAGGTCCCTGACTGCTAAGGGCCTTAGAGGTCAAAACCTTGAACCTGATCCGGTGCTCTACTGGAAGCCAGTGCAGCTTGTGCAGTAGTGGTTGAATATGCGTCATCCATGGGGTCCCAGTAAGGACCTGCACAGCCGCATTTTGGACCAGTTGAAGCTTCTGGGTCAGGCACAAGGGCAGGCCCGTGTAGAGCAAATTACAGTAGTCCAGCCTGGAAGTGACTGTTGCATGGATTTCCGTGGCTAGGTCAGGGCGAGACAGGTAGGGAGCCCAGCTGCCTGACCTAGCAAAGTTGGGAAAATGCCAGGTTGGCACCCTTCGCGATGTAGGCTTCCATCGATAAGGAAGAATCCAGAGTCACGCCCAGATTCCTGACGGTCTATGCCGGTGATAGAGGCACACCCTCAAGAGTCGGGAGAGCTGGCAACCCAGTCGAGGCTCCCCCCCCCCAGACACAGCAGCCCCCCCCCAGCCACAGAACCTCCGTCTTTCCTGGATTCAGTCTCAGTCAACTCTGTTTTAACCATCTCACCACAGCCTCCAAACCCTCAGCTAGATTCCCGGGAACACCCATCAACAGGCATAGCTGGGTGTCATCAGCATATTGGTGGCATCCCAGCCGGAAACTCCGCACTAGCTGGGCGAGGGGGTGCATGTAGATGTTAGACAACATCAGGGTGAGAAGGGCCCCTTGAGGAGCCCCACATTCCAGTGGGTCCCTTGAGGACACTGTCCCTCCCAGCGCCACCCTCTGTCCCCGACCGACCGTGGAGAAATGAGGTGAGCCACTGCAAGGCTGTCCTGCAGATTCCAGCGTCGGCAAGGCAGTGAGTTAATAGATCGTAGACGACTGTGTTGAATGCTGCTGTAAGATCAAGTAATATCAGCAGCGCCGACTCCCCCCAATCCAGCTGTCTGCAGAGATCATCTGTAGGGGCGACCAATGCCGGGGCAGAAGCCTGATGGAAATGGATCCAACACCCATGCGTCTTCCAGAAATTTCTGGAGCTGATTCAGCCGCTGCTCTTTCAGTTACCTTACCTTCAGTTACGAAAGGTTCGAGACTGGGCAGTAATTGGTCAGATCCACAGGATCTGAGTGTGGTTTTTTCAAGAGCGAGGCAGCCCCCGCCTCCTTCAGCCCCCTGGGATGGATTGATAATGTCTTCAAGGGGGCCTCGTAGCCTCTCGCTGCTGGCCTTCACCAGCTTTGAGGGGCGCGGATCCAGGAGGCAAGTGGTCGACCTAACAGCACCCAGAATTCTGTCAACATCCGCCCGGGAGAGCCGACTAAGGGTGTCAGAGACCGAATCCAGAGATGGCCAGGGGGTCTCCAGTTCATGTACTGTATCAATAATGGCTAGAAGGTCGCAGAGTAGTGACAAGTTACTTATGCTACTCCCCAGTCTTCCAGTGAAGTGCTTGTTTGTAGTGGCAAGTTACAGGTACTGGTTAGAAAACCACCAATTCCACGTTGGATTTCCTGAAGAACACTCTGGGGCGTGGCCATTCAGATGCAGCGGGTGACTCACTAGTTTTTTATTTGCTCAGAGGTCCTCACCCATCTCTCGTCTCTTCCATTGGACACAGTCCTTTGGCTGTTGTTCCCGAAAGCAGCACCTCTGGTGTGGGTGTCTCTGCCCCGGGCTCTTTGCAGCGAAGGCCGAGGCAAAGAGGTCGTTTGGTTTTATACCTCGCTCTTCACTACCTGAAGGCTTACGGTCGCCTTCCCTTCCTCTCCCCAAAGCAGACACCCTGTGAGGCAGGTGAGAGGCGGAGAGCTCTGAGTGAGTCGTGACTGACCCAAGGTCACCCAGCTGGCTGCCTGTGGAGGAGGAGGAGGAGGAGGAGGGGTGGGAAATCAGACCTGGTTCTCCAGATCAGAGCCTGTGGCTCTTAACCTCCACGCCACACTGGCCCCCTTATCTTCCTTCCCTCTCCAAGGAGGGTTGCCTGCCACAGCCCTTTAGTCTCATGCAGCCAAGACTTACCGCCGTCTTCTCATTCTCCTAAAAGCTGTTGAGTAAGACCGCCTGTTGACCCAGGTGTGTCCCGCTGCTCGGCGGAGCCTTGGCTCAGCCGCGGGATCTGGGCTGCTCTCCTCTCTTTGAGGACTCGGCTGACTCCTCACCTGAGCTGTTGCTGTGAGCTCCAGAGCGCCGGGAGCTGGATGCTCGGGGCTTTGTGGAGAGCTGGCTGGCGTAGGCATGTGCCCCTGTGTGTGGCCTCAGCCCCTCTCCACAGCCGGCCCGGGTTCCCCTTCTGCAGGGAGGCGCACGGTGGACGGGAGGCTGAGCACTGTCCAGGCAGCCCTGAGCCGGCAAGAGGAGACCCTGCGCCGGAATGAGTGGGAGCACAAGGCCTTGCTGGACAAGGTGGCGGTGCTGGAGCGGAACCTGCAGGCGGCTGACAGTGAGAGGAGAGCCACCCAGGTGAGTGGGGGCTGGCTAGGAGCTTTCTGGGCAACTGGGGAGGGGCTTTAAGGCAGCCCCCATGGCTGGGTTGTGGGCATGCGTGCTTTGTTCCTATGGTTTCTGTTCCATCTGGTTCCTGAAACCCTTGTTTGCGAGGGGTCCATTTTAAAAATGATGATGATCAGGCTCTCCATCACTGACTGGGTGGGGGAGCCATTTTGGCTCAGGTCTTGTCATGCATATTTCTCACCTTGTTTGCAAGAGACACCCCCCCCCCAAAGTCGGCACCACCCCACCCAGGGTTCCCTCTAAGCTGTGCTAAGGGGCGGTGGCACACAAAATTTTAGCTGGCAGCTCAGGGATTTTAGCTTCAGCTCACAAGTAAATTGAGAAGGCATTTTTCCCCCATTGGAAACAATGAAAGATGGGGACACCTCCTTCTAGGGTCCACAGAATTGGACACCCCCCCCCCCGGCCTAAACCTTTTTGAAACTTGGGGGGGGGGGTTGAGGAGAGGCACCAGTAGCTATGCTGCAAATTTGGTGCCTCTGCCTCAAAAAACAGCCCTCCCCATAGTACTAGTTCCTCTAAGCTGAGTGCACAGGAAGAATGGCTCCAGAGCAAACTAACTTATGCAGCAGCCAAATCGCTCGCTCACAACTTTAATGCCGGTAGCTCAAAGTAGAATTTTTGCTCACAGGACCCCACAGCTTAGAGGGAGCATTGCCCCAGATCCATTCTCCATTATAGCCTATGGGACCCATTGACTACGATAGTCCCCATAGGCTATAATGGAGCTGGAAAAAATGATATATGTATTTTTTGCACACCCCGATATGCTTTTCAGTATGATTTGTAAGCTGCCTTGAGTCACAGGAAAAGTGGGATATAAATATTTGAATAAATAAATAGTTTGGGCGGGATGATAACATTTAAGCAACTTCTTGTTAGGTTTGGCAGGGTTCTGACTGTGATTGTTCCATCTCTGTTATACTTGACCTGTAATTTGTTGTATTTCACTAAAAAAAAAAAAACCAAGCAAAGGGGACTGTAAGAGCTCCCCCCCCCCCCCTCTTCCCCTTGCTGGTAGGTTTTGTAAGGCTCAGCGCAGGGTGACAGTCTCTGAGGTGAGGTCTACCAATATAGTGGACTGGGGCGGGTGGACCTGTTCTCCAGAGGCCGGGTTAACCTCCACAGAGGACATTTTCTGTTATGAAATTTGACTTGATTCTGTTTTCTCTTATAATGTTTAAATTATTCTTAAAATATAGCTTAAATATAGTTTAAAAGAATTCATTCTGAGATTTTTTTTCAAGGTTATGCAAATCTAAAACTAATTTACACAATAATCAACTGTAGACTTGCTCACAACTTTAATGCTATTAGGTGGGGGTTTTTTGCTCACGTGGAGCGTCGAGGGAACAGTGAGTCCCTATTGGAGTTTTTGTATTTAATTTTCTTAAAGTTAATTAGGCAGAGTTAGCAGAGTAAAAATGAGTTGAGTCCATGGTAGTTTAAAATATAAAAGTTTACTATCAACCTAACAAGGGTAGGGTAAACAGGATGAAAAATAACAAAGAGCTTTATTTCTACATCCTCATATCTAGATAACTTACTTAGATGTTCCTAAGACTAATGGAGACATCTTAACTCATCCTCAGGCTAATGGAGACTAGAGCTTCTTCTTGCTCTGGACAAAGAGTCATAAAATGCTAATTCTAGGTACTCTATCTTCCAATCAGGACAACAAACTACATCTCAATCTGGCGGGCTTTCTAGCTCTCTAAGCAGATAGGATACAAACAAACATGTGGTTCAGTACACAGTATTAACCCAGTAAATACCAAACAGAAGTGTTCTAACTTGTAACATCCAACACCCCTTCTCAAGTTATAACACTGAAATCATGCAAATTTAAACTTTCACGAAGATTCTCAAAACGTTGCTTGTCAAGCGGCTTGGTCAGGATGTCGGCAGTCATCTGTTCAGTAGGACAGTAACGAAGTTCAATGAGTCCTTTGTTTTGTAAATTTTTTCACATATTTGCATTGTAGAGCAATGGTGCTCTTGGACTTGGTGCTCTCACCTTTGCAGATAACAATGCAAGCTTGATTGTCCTCATACATTATTATTGGTTTCGGTTCATCTATTCCAAAGTCTTTCAGTAGATGAATGATCCAGTACAGTTCATAGCTGGCACTTTGCGCTGATACACATTCAGCTTCTGCAGTAGAGATCGCTACAACAGATTGCTTTTGACTAGTCCAGTCAATTAAACTGTTTCCATAGTAGAATAAGTATCCACTTGTAGATTTTCCATCAGTTGTGTCTTTTCCCCAGTTGGCATCCATGAGATCCAGTCAGTCTTGGTTCATCACAGGATGAGATTTTCAGTTTGAAGTCCAAAGTTCCTTTTAGGTATCTTGCCAGTCTCTTAATGGCTTTCCAGTCATGGATAGTTGGTGAGCTGGTCTTTCTGCATAATAGTCCAACAGCTGAAGTTATATCTGGTCGACAGATTTCGCTGAGATACAATAATTTTCCTATTGCAGATCTGTATTCGTGGTTGTTTGGAAGTAGTGGTCCCTCTGTATTCTTGAGGTAATCCTT